CCCTAAAAAAACAAAAACAAAAAAAAAAAGGAGAAAAAACTCAAAGTAAAGAAATAAAAGAAAAGAAAACGTTCAAATTAAATCTAGAATTAACCAACTCCAATATTAATTAAATCAACAATCCCCGGCAATAGCGCCAAAAACTTGATGCACTAAAATCACCATAGCAAGTGTGCTAGTCGCTCCAAGTAATATAATGATAAGAAGAGTGTCGAATCCACGAGGATGGTGTCTAATTAAGTACCAAAATAATTAATATAAATTTATTTGAACAATCGAAAAGTGGGAATTTTAATTAAAATAACAAAAAGTGACTAACAATTAAAATAAAACTAACTAAAATATGAAATACTAAAGCTTGACTTCACCATAATCAATCAATATAAATTCTGGATTACTAAATTGTTGAGTGTTATCGCATGTGATAGCAGATTTCCTTAAATTAATTAACCAGCTTTCTCAAGTCAAGTTAATCTTTCACTTGTTTGCCAAATTAATCATATCTTTATATAATTTTAAGTAAATTAATAAACATTAAATTCTGTGGAAACCTCTAGATTAAGAAGGGGGAGCTCCTAACTCTCTTCTCTTCCTCCACTAACACATGCGAGTTAATTATCTCTCGGTCTCATAGTCTAGCACACGGTTTATATTATTATTGGTTTAATTTACGCAATTCTTTTTCAAGTTCATGTATAAATTACTAAATCAATTGAAAAGTGATCAATCTTCCAATACATTAAATTCAATAATATAAACTCCTCGTGTGAATAACTTTAATTGAAAACATAAAATCACAAAATGTATATTGAATTGATTAGGCTTGAAAACATAAAATCACAAAATATATATTGAATTGATTAGGCTACATCGTAACCCTAATAGAATAAATTAATTCATAATAAAAATAGTAAAACCTGAAATTATAGTTATGAACATTCGAATGTCAAACAATAGATAAAAATAATGAAAAGAAAAACAAAACTCAATTTGAGAAAATTAAACTTCTTGATCTTTTATTGTTGATGAAATCTCTATCCTGATCTCTAATAATACCCAAAAAGGGGTTGCCACCAGTCTCCTTTCACTCTCTCAATTCTGAATTTGGATGAGCATTTATAAAATTTTAGAAATCCTAATTAAACTAGAAGTGGGACTCACACCCATAATAACCAATTAAACACGAATTTTGTGAAAATCGCTAAGGGGTGAATACCTTCAACAATGTTCCGACACTTTCTGTTCTGCTCAACGCACAATGCCATCAGCGTGTCGGCTTTTTTGGCCTTCTTAGCAATTTCTGTAATGGTAAACTAATAGTCCTGGTCACTGACTTCTAGATTCTGCACAAGTTGGTCTTTAAGTTTTTGATCTCTGTAATTTATGCCTAAAAATTAGGATTTTTTTCAATTAAGTTCTTTCCTACACAAAAAATGAAAATTATATAAAATCAACTAAAATTTCATAAAATTCATCCAAATATTAATAATATCAAGGCAATAATTTCACATTAATATATATATAAATTCAACTACTAGGTCTTCTATATTAGAAGAATGGGATTTTATATGGATAGAGTTTTTTTTTTTTTTTTTTTTTTTCAGTCTAGAAGGAGAAAAATGAATATTTTTACAATTGAAAACTTAAAATACTGCTAATGAATTTTTTTTTTAGTGTTGTTCATTAAGGTTATAAAAGTAATTTAATTTTTTTATTATCATTTATAACACTATTTTTCAAAAAACTTCCATG